TTGCGTTGTATTGTTGTAAAGTTGAGACGATAGAGAGGTTTTGGTGGTTCGGCGCATTGCGCGAATCCGCGCATTCCGCGCACGGACACAGTAGGATCGGACTGTTTCTCCGAAAGCCGATAAGCCCTGCATACGGCTGTGTACAGGGTAAGCAGCCGCTCCGCAGCCGATGTTATTATGACCAGGGTAGTAAAATCGGTACGGCAGCGTTCGCAACCGATGATTTCGGCCCACTGGTCAGAGACACGTGCGCTAACACGCAGTATGCTTTCAAAGTCGATTTGCGTTTGTTTTTGCAACTCAGGGACTGCTTCAAAAGCAGTAAAGGAGCAAGTGCAGAGTTGATTCATATTGGTGTGGTGGGTTGACTTATAGCTTATTGGTTCACGTAAGTAACCTACTAGGCCTAAATGGAAATGTAAATGTTATATAAAACCATACCTAGTTGGCAATCCAGCTTGCTAGTGATTGAGACGAAAAATGGGTTTGCTGAAGTTTCTCGAAATACTTGAACCAAAATTATGTGCAGCCGGAAAATAAATGTGGCCGGGAACTAAATGGTCGAGCTAAGAAGTGGTGACTCCAAGTGCTGTCTCCAGCCAGCCCGCTTACTTCCTATCCCAGGTCTTTTAGACCGAGGTTTGATAATAGGAAGCTTTACCGAGCTTTCAATAACCTCAATCACTAAGCCCTTAAATAGTCTTCCCGTGCTTTTCTAGGTCTAATGACATCTCTACTACAATTCCAAAGAAGCTGACTTCATTCAGATATGTGTCTGACAGATCTCTAAACGTGACCTGTCAGTTCATGCCGAAATTATAATATATAAATGTAATAATGTCATACTCGGCAATATGGGTACTCTTACGCTTCTGTATAAGCTTCTCTGTTTTCATATACATTTCTCGATCCGCGATCTGCATGTAGTAAATCGCGCCACACCCCCTCATTGCCAATAATAAAATGCCGAGGATACCACATCGACACACTGTGCTGGATTTAGTATCAGTTCTGTACAAATCAACGCGATGTAACCCTTAGCTTCCCTAGTGTAAAATAACTGCATCCTAGATGGCTACCGCGGGCTGGTGATGATGATGTTGACAGTAGCTATGCCTTAGGGCAATTTAGTAGCTAGTAAAAGTCAATTGAACAACAAATAGGTGTATCAAAGTGTCCTTCCTACTAGTAAGAGCCGTTTAGACTGCCTCTCAAGAAGCTTGTATATCCGCTCGAGCTATCTGTTATTCGGGTGATTGTTTTCGGACCTTTGTACGGATGCGTTTTAGTCGGCGAAGATCTTCATTTGCAAGTATTTGCAGACGTCTAAAGCTAGAGGGGCTTCGGTCTTCTTCTTCTCCTCCTCCTTGTATCCTTAAGCCTTCGTCGGCGATCAGCAAGGGTTATACAACAAATGTAACCGTGGAAGAGATAGTATCCAATCATGTAAATGATATCGAAGCCACGGAGCGCGCTGCACTTGCTCGCTTTACCACGCTGATCAATAGCTTTTAACACCCGCCCATGCAGCAAACTGTCAAAATGAAGTTTTACTAAGTAACTATGGAGGATGAGTAACTTCAAAGTATTTGATATTCTTCACGGACACAAGACGTTCGAGCAAAGTGATAGAGCAACGACGATCGTATCTTAAGTGGGGAATTAGCTCTGGCACTTAGGTCTCATGTCACTACTCGCAGCATGTATATTAATGAGGGGGTGTCACTATACATTTCGCACTTACTCTCGCCTCCAGCATCGTTCATCAATCGACTCGTGATGCTTGAACCATTATCACCTTCCAATATGTTCAAGGTGGGTCGATCGCAGCGCAGTTAATTAGACAAGCTGATGCCTTACCCACTTAAGAGCTATAGTATCAGTGGCGAATGCAGTAAAAAGATGATTAGCGAAGATTATGCTAGATTTGCCACTAACCAAAACGGCGCTTCCGTTAGCTTGACCGAAAACAGCAGTTCATTGGAAGGTGATGAATTAAGCACCACAAGCACAGAGTGATGCATCGAGCCATGGCGCGGAAGTGGCTTACGCTAGATCGCCCGCTCTTCCGCCTAATTCCGATTTTAGTGTTCTCAGCCAATACACAGTTATCCAGCCGTCGCTCGGGAGCAACCCATGCATCACGCATAATCCCGTTTTTAGCGTCAAGGATTGAGACTACGATGCTTAATAATTGTACCGAGGTGCTGATAGATCGCACCCTAGAGCAAGGAGTCCCGTGTAAGCTTGCGTAAGCTTTCTTGTATATTAGACTAGTTGGTTTCATACCCCTGGTATGAACTCCGGGCCTGTACAGCTACTCTATTCAACTTCTCTCTCTACCTACTTGTTACAAGTAACAGCAGGAAGGATCCTCTCCCTGGGCCTGACAAAGAGTAGTTGGGAGGCCACTCGGGATTCCAACGAACAGG